ACCTTTTTCTTTTTTTCTTTATATTTCATTCAAATCCTCAAAAATCAGTTAAAATAAATTCCATACAAAACACCCAAAGTCTTTTCAGTGAAAATAAAGTCTTTTGCAAACAAAGTTTTTTTTTACTGCTACTGTTACAAAATGATTATGGACAAGAGTTTATTCACAAAATTTTTTCATCTCTGTCCTTGAGTCTAACTAAGTTTTCCAAAAAAAATCTTGACCATTGTTCAAGTAATTTTTATAAATTTGACATACAGTCAGTGCTATGGTATTCATAGTAAATTGATGAAAATGGTCAGGATTTTGATTTCGTAACAGTGAAATATAGAGGTTTAATGGATCTCTTGTCAGAGGTGCACCTGTATACGCTGACCAAAGACTTTGTTTTATCTCTACTATATAGTCAGAAATCAGGTTTATCTAATGTGTGTCTGTGATTACACAATAATAATTTTAAGTAGCATCCTTTTTCGATATGGGACCCATAGCAATGTCCGGAACTTTTGTTTACATGTAATTCAAACAATGCCCTTTAAAGCGGAAAGGTCGTCACCTGCACACGCACGGGAATTGAGTCCCAAGTGTTAATAACAACACACGCTAAAAATGCAAAGGCTCATGGGTAAATGCTTGTTTGTAGACAATGACACGCTATAGCCATCTGACGCATGCGCAGGTGACGACTCCCCCGCTTTAACCCAAAGTCAATTTTGTCACCATTCACAAAATTAAATCCACACAAATATTTTAAATTTCTTTCCAAAATTTTGATCAAGATCTGCAACCAACAAGAAATTATGTCTATTTGGCCCAAAATTAACAAACAAATTTGAAATAAATACATGAAAACTTATGAAATGTGGCATCAAAATTATGGCAGGAAAAACATTAAGTCATTCGAAGCATTAAATTGTTTTTGCTTAGCAAAGAAAGACGCTTTTCCAGACATGGTCAAGGGTATGAATTCTGTGTTGTGTGTTTATATGTTTATAACATGGACGTAATTTTATATTAATTCCATTTACATGTAGGTGATTGTCATTACTAATGTACACGTACACGTACAAAGTAATTTTAGGTCATCATGACCATGAATAGATGTATTTATATGTATGTTATTATATACCTCATATTGCCCAGCCATGCAACGATATGGGAAGTGCGCCCTCACATCATGTCTGGCCCAGCACGCCCGGCTTTCAACAATCACAATAAAAAACATGAGATTCTAAGTTGTGTGTTTGAGGTCATGCCGTGGTAAAATTGTAATTACACCAATATGATGCATGATAAAACCTTTATGGACTGATATGGCTTATGCTGCCCTCAGTCGAATGGCTTACGTGCCCTTGCAAGCTTGGATATATGTATTTACGTGTCTGTGACGTCAGAGATTTGGCTTTGCATGTTCGTCTAGTTTCTGTCAGTTAACACAATCTTTGGCATTGATTCCAGTGGAAAAACAGCATTTTTTTTAACCGGAAATACCAGATCATTGTCGGAACAAAGTTTACCCATTCATGCTAGTCACAATGAGCATTTTATTCTTGAATACGTATCACTTTAATTAAGACACCAAAAAGTAAATCTTAATTAGAATACTTACAGTGGCTGCATTGGCTCATATGGACATGTAATAGAGCTAATATTTTTTTTTAAATATTTTTTAAAATCCTTAGGAAAGGATAAAAAGGGTCTTACAGAAAGAAATTTAAAAACTATAATCTAAAAAGAAAAAAAAACAAACCTATTTTAAAAATATAAAACAAATCAAAAACAAATATGGTAACTATGGTTACTATTTTTAGAACAGTCTGCAAATATACTTTCTCAAAGTACATCACGTTTAACTTTATTATTGCCTTACCGTGTTACAATTGGATCTGCAGCATGGTTTGGACCCCATTTACCTAAAAACCCTCTACCAATCATTCCTGTTCTACCACATGGATTCCTATAGAAATATGAAATGTACAATTGTCATTATTAGTCAAATACCAGTGAATGATTTATTACGGATGGGTGTTTCCATACATCGAAACTGGATAAGCTCAAAACTCAAAAGTTCTGCAACTCACACCCACTACAATTAAAAGCATGCAATGTACAAAGCAGACAGACGAAAATACATACGTCCTATGTCCATTTTTAGGATACGACTTCAATAAAGACTATTATTATTATTATTATTACAAGTATCAAAGCAATCAGACTGATAGTTTTCAATGGTATGGTGTCAGTTATGAACAAATTTGAAACTGGCCAATCAGTTATACCCTTTAATAAGCATAAATAGATTACAAATACAGTATTGGTGGTTGTGAGACGGTCATTAGGTGATTTTTTCGCACACTTCGAGATGCATTAAAGGCGTGAAAGTTTGCCACAAAACTCAAGTGATTTATGATGTCAAAACGTTAATAATTCAGGGGTACATTGAGAAATTATGCACATGACAATTTTATTTCACCATGTGCCAGATTAGGGGGGAATATATAATTTGGGGAAAATTAAATTGTGTAAATAAATGCTTTGTTATTGATTTCCTCCACAATACTATTCTTCAAAACAAAAAAAATTGACATTTTATCATAATATTACATGTAATAACGTACCATCAGAGTTTATAATGTAAGAATTATTAGGGTCAGTGAGAAAACAGTCAAGATCGTAATCTTTATTCTATTGCACATAAACTTTTGATTTCCGCCATGATGTTTTCTCGCACAATTTAACCTGCAACACTGTCATTTGACCTGATAGGTCAAGTCTTGAGGGCATTCTGGTAACGTAACATGGAAGTGGTTTATCAAAAATCAAAGAATGATCTGCATGATTTTTTTTTTTTAAATTGTAACTAGCAATTTTTGAAAGATTAACTGAATATGGAATAAAGTATTTACTGCCTTGTTGAAACATGGTTACCATGGTTTATACATTTGCACGATATTCACAGTCAATAATCATGCTGTATTATACAAATTTGATTATCGCTATTCAGAAAATTTGAATAATGCTCAAAGACCAGGTTTTATGACTAGACAGTCAATATTGGAACATTTTTGAAAGGATGGGGACTTGAACCAAAAAACTGAAATTCCCCAAAAGTGGGGGAAAGACGCTTAGTCAAAGTATGGTATAATGGTGTATTATGGAATCTTCAGTGTACACTTTTTAAGCATCTAATTTTAGAGAATTACTTATAGTATCATATTCCATCGAAAAGTTACAACTTTAGGATTAAAAAACATTCAAACAAGCACATTTAAAACAACAAAGTTTTATGGGTTTTTTTTTAATGGCTACCATTCGGCCATCTTGAATGGGATCATGAAACAAATGCACAGGAATTGAGTCTCAAGTGATGATAACAACAGGCTCTTGAGTAGACAGTAGTTTGTAAACATTGATATGCTATAGCCATGCACAGGTGATGATAACAACAGGCTCTTGAGTAGACGCTAGTTTGTAAACATTGATATGCTATAGCCATGCACAGGTGATGATTTCCCTGCTTTAAGTTTGAAGTTGATAGGGGAGGTATGTGTGAGATACAGGTGGATATGGACGAACAGATGTCAATCCACAAGTCCTCTTTTTCAAACTGAACAATTCGTTTCGTGTCTGAGCAGAGACTAAAATCAATGAAAGGTTTAACATTTACTAAACTTTAAAAATTTGAATTTACCTTGGAAATCCATCGATGACCTCATAAGGCTTTGGCATGTGACTCACTCTGTTAATATTTCCATCCCTCTCATTGAATTTTAAATTGTGGTCTGGTTTTCCCCTGTAATGAGAAATATGAATTTGATTTAATTACATAATTACACAAGCTATAACATAAATCCTTATTAACTGACTAGCTTCTGGAATATATTCATCCATCTCAAATAAACTCAAAGAGAGCAACTACAAATCTATTAATTCGCAGAAATAAAAATAATTGTTTTTTCAATGGCATGAATAATAGCATACAAATAGGGATTATTTTTATTTATTTTTTTGGACAAACTGAAATATACTTTTTGGTTGATATGGTAGCATATCATAAATAGTGATTCATTTGGATAAAAACTTGATTTGATCTTGCAC